CACTTGATCCCTATTATATATGAAAAACAATCAATCTCAATAACTACTTATGTCATTCCCTCACTCACAATTGTCAGCTCACAATAATTCAAAATCACTGACCAATATTGCTCAATATATGTAGTTGATCAAAATTAACCAAAGACCAGCTTTCAATATCCCAATATCCCTTAAACTTTGACTCCTAATGTTTTGCTCCTGTTGTCAAGATTTGGCTTCGTTTGGGACGACTTTCTTACTGCTTCTTAAAATAATTTTCTAATATAAAAATTAAAATTTTTGTACTAAAAAACTACTTTAAAAACAATAAGAACGTTGTCCCAAACGAAGCCTTATTTTCCTTCACAAACATTGCTGCTCAATTTTCAACATCCCTATAGATTTCATTATACTTCATTAATGTCAACCAAGAACTGATGAAAAATATTTTCTATAAATATTTTCCAGAATTAGAAAAGATTTTCTATTTTTGTATCCATGTATTCTCCAATTATGCAAAATGATAAATCTTTTTAACTTCAAACTTTGATGGAATCTATTTCAATTGTATTAACCACATGATTTTTCCCATTCTATTTTTTCTCATAAAAATTCTTCATACCCTCTACTTGTATGTAACTATATATTTTCTTTTATGTGTGTGTGAATCTTCATAAAAACTAAGATGTGGATCATATATTGAATTTTCTAGTAATTAATGTTTTATTTATATATTATATTTTACTATATAAAAAAATAAATTTAAATTAACATAACTTTTATGTTAAATTTTAAGGATTTCAAGAGAAATATTTAACATAAATGTTTAATACCAACCAATTTGCCATATTCAATATTTGAATTTTTTTAATGAGGGATGAATAGATCAATCAAGCAAGGAGTTACCTTATGGCTTATGTTAATTTTTATTTTTTTTTCAAATGATGAGTGGTAAATTAGGCAAAAAATGTTCAAACATCGAATAATCTTGAAATATGGACCCACTAGGAGCCACATCATCCACACACTTAGTCTACTATCTTTGAGGATCAATATATGCTACCAGGTAGCAGTTGTTTTACTCTAGTGCTTGTTTGTTCGCACTATAGGAATTTGGCTTATGATGGGACTTTGACTGACCATTAAAATCTGTATGTTCGCCCTTTGGTGAAAAAGCTATTTTGGAGGATTTACATATATAGTATTCAAATTAAATATTTTAAATTGCATATTTAACATTTTTTTTAATATTAACAAAAATACCACTTGGCCCATGATATCTAAATCACATCATGGTTTTACAAACCTTTTATTGTCACCTATCTAAACGCTACCTTCATACAATATGGCAATGCATCACTACGATGCCAACACGCAGTAACCCTGCCTCTTTTATTTCCAAAACGTTCATCAATGAAGAAGCATAAGGAAGTTGAGACAAAGCCCACTATGGCAATGCATCAATAGGATCAATGTAGAGAAAAGGAAGCCACGACACATCAACGGGACCAAAAAAAGAAAGCTGTGATGGATCTCGCTAGGGCAAGGCGAAAAGGTGGAGTCGTTCGGATGGATGGCCGATATTGAATCTATTGATCGTGTACGGTTTGTCAAACATTTGAATATCTTAATGATGTCAAAATTTAGCGATCTTGGGCTCGTTAGATTCGTCTCGTCGAGCCACTCGATTCGACTATAAGCAATTCATATTTGGAAACTGTTTGGTAACTCAAATTGTGGTTCAAACTTTCCAATAGCGCTTCGGGTGCTTGATTTGGACTCATTTGGGCTCGGATTGAGTCGAATTTGGTGTCGTTGAGTTCGTATTTCCAAGACACTCTGTTTGACTATAAGTTCACTGAAATCAGAGTTCAGGTGATCACAGATTTAATTTTTTGAAGTTTCCGAATTGATTTTGCCTCGAGATTCATGCCCGATCAAGATAATTTTTTGATGATATATCAAGGTTAATGAAGGTGTTTAATCATGTAAATATTTAAATTTAGATATTTAATATATAATTGAGAAAATTTGGATTGTTATGTAAGTAAATTCCCCAACTATTTTTCAAAGTTAGTTTATATCAATATTTCCAGGTTTGATAAAAAGTGACATGTCATTAAAAACCAGCTTGGAAGAACAAATCTCAACACACATTTAAATTAGAAAATTTTAAAATAAATTTTAGGACCATACAAACTTTAATTTTAGCTAACTTAAAGTCAAATTGAATATCTTAACAATATGCATCCATCGACACAAAAACTAATCTGATCCAGCTTCAAATGAGCTCAAATCAAGCACTTAAAGTAAATCGAAAACTTATAAATATTAATTAAAGATCAAATGTTATCCAAATCTTATATGCTTATAGTCCAATCGAGCGCCTTAATGAGATAAATCTAATGAGCTCAAAATTATCTAATGTTGACATCATTAAGATACTTAAGTATTGAAAGAATAATATATGATCCAGAGAATTAATGCAGGTCATCAGATGGAGTGTTCTAGATTTTAATTATATTGAGGCATGTCACTTTAATAAAAAATATATAAATATGCTCTCATTCTCTACATGAGGTAGGAGTTTATACCCCCTCGTCTTTAAATTAAGAAGAGCTTAGAGGCCTAAGAAGTCATGAAACTCCATCGGAATACCAATTGATCACCCTAATCAGACTACCGCTTTTGAGATGCCACCATCCAATCACCACTATTGGACTATCAATTTAAAACCACCTTAACTTGTCTATGGTCTACTGACCATCAACTCTTGATTATAATCCTTTAACCATCATTGATTTATTATAACCTTTTGCCCACAATCAACCGACTATGACTCTCCAACCAATATTTGGATAATTTGTTTTTAAATAATTTATAGCTATGACTTCCTTAAGATGTGTTATAACTCAAACTTTTAACTATCGAGATATTGCCTGTTTTGGCCTAAGGGTCTCACGGTTTTGTCATATTGATGTAACTACCAAGAGGTCACCCATCTTAGGATTTCTCCGGGATGACCAGGCTTTACTATGAAGTTGCTTAAATGAAATTTCAATCATTACAATAAAAGATGTCGTATCGATGTTTAAGAGTTTAGGTTCTTTTACTTGGATTTCACAATCTCCCTTGCTTAAGTAGTTGATATCCTCATCAGCATCTTTATCCTAAAATCATCCACCATACATTTATGATTCTATATGTTGCCCCTGTAAGTTCAAGTGATGACCCCATCACGTAGAACTTTGTTTCAAACCACTTTGTGCCTAAGAGCTGCAATAATAATAATAATAACAAGAGTTTAGTACTCACAAAAGAGTGGGGGGAGAACCTCATGAAATGAGTGGAGGAAGATATCCATCCAACTCTTATTGCGCAGCTAGAGCCCAAACATATTTGATCAATTGATCCTAATGATGATAACATGTTGATTGTTGTATAACATCTCATTTTAATTATATAAACATTATAAGAAAATATATTAAATAAACAAGATGAAATGTACTTAGGGCATCCATATTTTCACTATTTTTAATAATTTCTACAATATAAATATTAAAATAATACCAAGTAAAATTCTAATAAATAAAAAGAGAACTAATAAAGCCCACAAAACAGAAACAACTTCTCAGACAACTATATCACTAACCCACAAACAAAATTTGTAATTATAAGCAAAACCCATTATTCTAAACTCTTAAGCTTACAGATGGAGAGAAGGCATCTTCATAAGACAAATATAAGCCAATAAGAAACCTCCCTATCTCCCACTTGCCATCAGCCATATATTAACTGCTGGCCGTTCAACGAAGACTTTCCTGCTCCCACGTGTCAAGTCAACAATCTCTTGCCGCCCTCCACTCCACTACTATACTCTCCAAGAAGACTCCTTCTCCCACTCTTTCCTCTCTCCTTCAGCCGGCCCACGTCTCTCTCTTTCTCTCTCTTTCAGTTAGGTGTAATTTTAATTCTCAATTTTGTTTTACTTTATGTGATTTTCGTTAGAGCTAAATTTAGCACTTTTGTTTTTGTACAAAATCAATTTGAGTTAAAAAAAGTTTATTTATTTTTGGATAATTTTAGCATATTTCTAAATTTTAGCTTTTGCAAAACTAATTATCTCCTATTTTTATGACAAAATTTTATTCAGTAGTTTTTTTTTTCCTAATTTCCAACAATTTAGAGGCTATTTAATTCGTTGCATTCCAAGAAGTCCGGAAAATTTTGATGTTTGAACTGCTGTGTTTCAAATGCGATATATGTTGGGAATAATATTTGGAAATTACTCTCTTGATTTTTTTAGTGTATTTGGAATTCTCTCATTTTTTAAATTTCAAATATGCAGCATACGTAAACAGTAACGCTCAGTCAACTATCACCCATCCACAATTATGTTGTCATAGTCCATCACAAGATGCCGCTACCATTTATAGATGCCATTCATTGCCATCGTACTTCGTCATCAGCCATCACATGCCATTATTTATACCCTCATCTCTCGTCTGCGAGATGTCTAATTCCAACCTACTTCACAACCTATTGAGATCTCCACTGTCATCCTCTATCACTCAATATCCTCTTTATTAGCTACATCTAATAAACTATTACTTTGAATGCACAGTTATTTTATTTTACTGTATTTTTTTCATTTTATTATGCATTAATTTTTTCAACAAATCAAATATTTTTAAATAAATATAGTACTTTCAAGGAAAAAATTGACTTAGAATATCTTAGTAAATTATTTAGATGAATAAATGTCAAAATTATTAATTTTACTTTGAGATGAATATAATATAAAATTAATTAATTATATATAAAAATATATGTACATATATTCTACTAACCATAAAATAAATTTATCTTAATCAAAATATAGTTACCTGATTTATTTCCTAATTTGAATAACAACTGCGTAAATCTTTTTAATTTTTTAATTTATATTCTATTTATGGAGTCAAATTCACATCCACACGCACCTTCTCCGCGTGCGCGTCAAAGATGCATATAAACGGGGCTCTTCAGCTTTCTTGACACAGCAATCTTTAGTTTCCTCATCAACAAGTCTCTTGGCCAAAGCCTTCCTCTGTTTCTCCTCTGCTTCAAGTTCAAAAAAGCAGCCTGCTTTGATGGCCATAGATTCCGTCGAAACGGCTCAGCCGCCTCCGGCCCCAACCCCGGCGTCTTCTTCGACAAGCTCCGACGAATCCCACGTCCTCCATGTCGAGGGCTGGACCAAGCGGAAGCGCTCCAAGCGGCACCCCCGCTTCTTCGACCGCGCCCCTTCCGAAGAAGAGTACCTCGCCTTCTGCCTCCTCATGCTCTCCCGTGACGCTGCAGCCGCTGCCGCTGCCTCCCCGCTGCAGCCGCCGCAAAAGCTTGAGCACTCTTGTTCCGTCTGCGGGAAGGCCTTCCCTTCCTACCAAGCCCTCGGCGGCCACATGGCCAGTCACAGGAAACCTCCCCCCTCCGCCGTCGCAGGCGGCGGCGGTGGCGTTGATGACCGCTTGTCCTCCGGGTCGCCAGCGGCCTCCATGGTCTCCTCTAGCTCCGCCGGCGGTAAGGTCCACCAGTGCTTGATTTGCCTTAAGACGTTCCCGACAGGGCAAGCGCTTGGCGGACATAAACGGAGGCACTACGACGGGACGATTGGGAGTGCCGTAGGCGCCGGCAGCGGTGTCGGAACCAGCGGCGGAGGCGCGGCGTCGTCTTCCTCCGAGGCCGCAAGCGGCGGTCAACGGGGATTTGGGTTGGATTTGAATATGCCGCCGATGATGGAGTTTACGTTTGACATACCGCGGCAGTGTTTGGAAGCTGAGGAAGAGGATGAAGTACAGAGCCCTCTTCCATTCAAGAAGCCGCATCTTCTTCTCATGGGATAGTCTTCGATCGAAGAAGAAGAAGACGATTGGGATTTGATTTCTGGGCCAATAGCCTCTGATTTGATTTTATTCATATTATTTTAGATATTTTAAGTTAGGTTTAAATCGTGACTGGATTTGTTTTCTTACAGTGAAGATTGAAAATTTCTATTATTTCATTTGAATTTAGATCGAATTCTGGCTAAGTAGTAGCGTTACAGAATATTTGATTTATTCTTTGTAGAACAATTGTGCTTTCAAGGTCAGTTTTTTATTTTTATTTTTTAATGTACAGTGAATTTCAAAGGGGAGTGTTTTCAAAGATTAATTTTGACGAACTTTTTCATAAAAATTATCTGTACAATGGAAAATTTTGGGCCAAACTTCTGTTCAAAATTTATAAAATTAGTATAAATTAATCAATAGAAAAATATATTGTAATTTTCTGAATAATGAATTTATCTCGAAAGCTAAATATTTTACTTACAGAGATTGCCGTAGTTTTCCGTGTTCATTCCCAACTTGAAGAATTCAATAGAGTTGCGCCGTTGCACGGAAAGCAGCTCGAGGTGTGGAGTTTTAAATAAAAAAAACGTGCTGTTCTTTATTATTATTTTAATTGGCTTGGATTATCCGGCGGCTAATTCCCCCAGGTTTCTTTGTCCACAAGGTAACGCCTGTTAGTGGGATTAGGAGTGGATTAACATAATGGCGATGATTAGAGGCTATAATTAAGAAAGATCAAGAAGGTTAATATAATTACAAAATAGTGCTGTAATCAAGAAGAGTGAGACTTGGAATTTGTTAGGAATGGTTTCAACTTTTCATAAAGATGATAATAAAATTATTTTGGTGAAAATATTTTTTATTAATGTTTGCTTTTTATGATAGGAATTTTTTGAAAGCACCAAGAATGTAATTGTGAAACAAAAATTTGGTCGAGACATTAAAAAATAAAGTAGTAAGAAAATTGTCTCAAATGAATGTTTTGTTGTACGTCTCGATTGTTAGTTTTGTATGGAATTTTATTGTGTTGATCACTCTGATTGTACTATTGACTCAAATTTCAATCCATCGATCGAGCCCAACAAGTGGGAAATTGCAGGGGGGGTTTGTCTAGGAAATTTTTTTTTCCTGTACAACCATACAATGTTATATCTGGATGGAGACAGAAAGTGGAGCACTGCGGCACTCAAAATACAGCACTATGGCACTGCTAGTCAAGCTGGAGAAAGAGAGCGAAGTGGCGAGGTGCTCCAAACCCCATCGACGTGATGCTCGTAGTCTTGTCAAGTATTTTTTTTTTTTTTTCATATTTAACTTGACATGGTTGTCCCTTGGGGCTGTTAATGTGAGTCTCTTTATCAATTATGTAAGAGAACGGTGTCAATAGAGAAGCGAGACAAGGAGAGAGAGGGAGGGAAAGAGAGATTTGTATAATTTCTCTCAATTTTCATAGTGATTTTTTTGTGTGATGTGGGTCCATAGTTTTTCATGGTTTCACTTTTTCACTTTAAATCCTAATGTTGTTTCTCTTCCCTTGCATTTTTTCTTTCTTGTTTGTTTTCGCCGCATGGTTTTACTTCTTCAACTTTGATATGTAAAGCATTCACAAGTTCTAATGATTGTCATTGTGTTCAATAATTTGTCAAATGTTTGGATATAGATGATATTATTTAAAATAAATTCTGATTCTAATCATTAAATGATTATTTAGAATCAATTTTATTTATTTGCTTTTAGTCCAATACATATATAAGAAAAACATAATAATTATTTTTATGGATTTAGTATTTTCAAAAATAAAAAATAAAATGTATATCACATGTCATTTATCTTATTCACTGTTAAATCATTCTCCATTTGTCATTGCCATCAAACTTGTCAACAAAGAAGTCCATGAAACCAAAATAGCGCTCAGTGCCTAACCAATTGTGTGCAGGACCTTCTTTTAGCCTTTTTCATTGTAATAAGCCAATAACCCAAAAGCTCAATATCACGGAGTTGCCCATCCTGACGCCACAATACTCCCATTGTCCCACATACCATTTTTTTATATTTCAGGGAAATGAAATTTGGAGTTATTACAATCTATTAGCCTTAAATAAAATATCGACATTGATATTTCTCACTACAAACCACTAATAGACAGTACAAAATCACTTATCACTGGCCACATCAATCATCAATTAAATTATATATTCATTCATTCACACATGTATTCATATCAATCAATTAATTATATAACACGTTATTTAATTCCATTTTAATAAGAAGTAATAAGATTTTTTCAATAATATTCAGGACAAAGAACTAGTGCTAATGACCCTCTCTAGTGCATCTCTACTTCTTGTTGATTCAAATTATATACCCACGATTGTACTGAGGATGATGTCATCATTGAAGGTGTAGGCTGTCTCTGGCTTCCACTCACATTCCTTCCACATGTCCCAATCACAAAACTTTGACTAAACATTCTAGATTATGCAATAATATGTTCATATGTTTGTTTAGACTGATCTGTCATGAATCTAGATCTCTCTTCAAATCCTCTTTGTGGGCAATCCATCATCGTATGTTTATACTACCCACATCAAAAAAACTATCATATGATTAAGCAACACTATCATGTATACCTCCTTCCACATCTAGGGCACTCCTACACACTGTCAGCTTGTATCATAGGTCCTCTCCTAATATTAGTATACCTTCCCTTCTTCTCACTATTTTATCCTCTACTTATTTCTTCACCTATCATCTTCCTACTCATATTCTGTCTAAGCTAAGAAATCTTTAAATCATTTTTTACTAGTCTCGCTTTCTCTACTAACTCTTAAAACTCTTGAATCCTCAAAGGTATAAGTAAATGTCTCAGTTCATCCTTGAATCCTCTCAAGAGCCTATAGCATTTATCCCTAGTAGTACTGACTAGTTGAGGTGCACGTCTCAACAATAAGTAAATTTAGCTTCATATTGCATTACTGTCATGTTCTCCTGCTCTAATATCATGAAATCCTCATATATTTATAGTCAATCTAATGGAGATATGAACCAATCTCTAAAAGTGCTAACGAATTCCACTTATATGTAATCAGTGAGTTCAACTTGTCATGAAACTTTTCTCTCGTTTGTCATGTTTACAATCTCTCAGCTTCACCTTCTAACAATAACATTGCTAGTGTTACTTTTATACTGTTTAGACACCACACACTATTAAATATCTTTTCAATTTTTAACAATCAGTGCTTTGCTACCTATGGTTCTACAACTCCCTTATATAGTGGAGGCTTCAATTTATGAATATTTGTAAATAATTATCCTTTTTAGTTTCCTTGATCCTAATATGTTAGCTCTGTATATCACTCATTGAATGTGCCATCAGACTAGCAAATCATACTATCAAAATTCACTGGAGATATTGTAATATGTTCATTTTGTACTATATATGGTTCCATTGTACTAAATATAATTCTCTTTTCTATCAATTAATATCCCAATCATACATGTGCATGTTATGCATGTAAAAAAAATAAATCTTAACACTACTCATGTCTACCCATCTCATTCAATTCATATAGCTCTGATTACAATCCAATTTTTCCAACAATCATTTCTTTGATACCAACTATAACACCCCAAAAATTCGAGAGCTCAAGATCGTGATGCTGCCCATACCGATGCTGCAGCACTCCCACAGGCCATTTTTTAGAATTTCAAGAAAATGAAAATTGAGGTTATTACATTCATGTCCATCACAAGCATCCCACATATCATTAAATTTACTTTATTGATTAATTTTAAGATAAATAATATTATTTTTGTGCCATGTACTACAATAAAATAATTTTTTTAACAAAATGAAAATGATTTTTAATGATAAAATTGAATTAATTCTTCTGGATGTCATAATTCGAGATATAGGCAAATATGAATGGTCCAAGGGAGTTGGTACGAGAGAGAGTTTGAATGAGGGAAACATTTTTAATATTTACTCTAGAATTATCAGATACGTCACTCGAGATCCTCACTTTGTTGTTCGTTTTAGAATTGCCGCGATCGAGCCAACTCAATTCCTAGAAATAATCCAAAATTTTCAAATTATATAATATTTTTACACATTCTAAATATTTAAAACCAATATGAATCTATAAATTATAAATAATTCTAAAGCTTTAAAGACTTTGTGGAATGTCATTCAACCATTTTTAGTGTTTTAATATCACATTGACTCTAATAAGCCTTGTTGATTTCAAATTGTCTGATTCACCTACCTATAAATAATGACTACTCAAGCCGCCTTCAAATACCCATTAAGTCTGTGTTGTCTAGTTCACCCTTCTCTAAAGAGAGGGATCAGCCTAATCACCTCTAATCATCCACCATCTCCAAATCATTGATTATCTCTATAATTTATTGAATATTCTCTCTATAATCCACAATGTAAGGTTATATCAACAAGTTAGAAATAGGAAAGTTAGATGCATGTGAAGTGAAGGCGGCTTGCGAGCCCGTTTAAATAAATTAAATATTAAAAAATAGGTTTTAGATGTAATAATTATTTAAAAATATTGCTTAAATTATAAAATATTTAAAAGTACTATACCAAACAACAACTTTTTAAAAGCAATTGTCCTATTACATTAATTTTATTGTACTTATTTGTCTAAAATAAAGTTGTTGTCGGCTTATTCAAAAGAAAAGAAAAAGAAAAAGCTTTAAGAGGATACCATCTTCCTTCTTCTTCTCGGAACTCGATATCTAGTTGATCCGTAGAGAATGCTCCTGTTGTTGGCTCCGCCGCGGTCCGTGAATTTGTTTCTTTGATACCAACTATAACACCCCAAAAATTCGAGAGCTCAAGATCGTGATGCTGCCCATACCGATGCTGCAGCACTCCCACAGGCCATTTTTTAGAATTTCAAGAAAATGAAAATTGAGGTTATTACATTCATGTCCATCACAAGCATCCCACATATCATTAAATTTACTTTATTGATTAATTTTAAGATAAATAATATTATTTTTGTGCCATGTACTACAATAAAATAATTTTTTTAACAAAATGAAAATGATTTTTAATGATAAAATTGAATTAATTATTTTGGATGTCATAATTCGAGATATAGGCAAATATGAACGGTCCAAGGGAGTTGGTACGAGAGAGAGTTTGAATGAGGGAAACATTTTTAATATTTACTCTAGAATTATCAAATACGTCACTCGAGATCCTCACTTCGTTGTTCGTTTTAAATTGTCGCGATCGAGCCAACTCA